ACTGACCTCCTTCCTTGTTTCTCCAACATGCCAGCTGGAGTGCAGCTCAGGGCAGCTCAGCTCAGGTCATTGCACCTGCTGCTCCCTCCCCCACGAAACACTCTTGTTCAAGATGTCCTGCCTTCATTCGGAAAGTATCAGCATATGCCGCCCCCAAATATGCCTCTTTGGCATATGGATTATCTCGTGCTGAAGGCCGTTAGGAATGAGCAGACACAGGAAAAACTCTAGAAACAGGGCACATATTTCTCCTCTTGGGAAAGAAATTTACATTTATAGAGGAAATTTCCATTTGTGGAGATGTCCCCTCTCTCATACCTGCAAGAGAAGAGCTCTGAACTCAGAGAAAGTCCTGACTTCAGTCTGCATAACAAACTTTATTAGACAACCCTCGTTTACCATACTTCTCCTGGTCACCTTCCTGTCACTCGCCTCACTGCCCAGCTTTGTTTAGCCTGAGATGGTATATAAGCCTCATCATCTGGCCTCGTTTTTTGTTGTTGTTTTAACTTAAACAAAATTGAATATATTGGTTAATAACATTATGTAATTTTCAGGTGTTCAAGACTATAATTCTAAGTCTGTGTGCTCTATTGTGTGCCCCCCACCTGAAGTCTCGGCTCCTTCTGTTACCGTATATTTGACCCCCTTTACCCGCTTCATCTCCCCCCCCCTTTCCCCTCTAGAAACCACCATTCTATTGTCTGTGCGTTTGTTTTGTTTGTTACCTTCTGCTTCATATCCTGAATATAGGTGAAACCATACCATTCTTGTACTTTTCATCTGACTTATTTCACTTAGCATAATACTCTCAAGATCCATCTATGTTGTTGCAAATGGCAGTATTTCATCTTGTTTGTGGATGAGTAATATTCATGTGTGTGTATCCAATTGACACTTAGGTTGTTTCCATCGGCCAAAAAATTGAGAAACATTTTTATGTGTGTGTGTGAACACTGGTGTGTATGTAATTAAACTTTTTTTCTCTTGTTAGTCTGTTTTCTATTAGTTTGATTCACAGGCTCCTAGCCACTGAACCCAGGAGGGTAGAAGGAAAAATATTTTTCCTCCCCTACAATTCAAATGTCATCTTACCCAAGAAGCCTTCCCTGACTACCCCTCCCATGCCCCTTACTGTCCTTTATTATCACCACTTGACTTACACATCTATCTAGCTGTTGGTTTATGTTTTATCTGGAAACTTTGTTTTGTTTACTGCTGTTCCTTCAACACCTAAAGCAGTGCTTGGCATCCAGCAAGCACTCAATAAATACCTATTAAGTAACAAGTGTAAAAAAGCATATGCCATATACGCATATATATGCAGATGCCTGCATGGTGCTAAAAGGATGCCTGAGAAACAGGTAACATGGGTGTCTCTTTGGAAGGAGGGAAAGACACCTAGTTTTCATTCTGTCTTCTCTTCTGATGGCTGACTTTGTTACTACATGCATATAATACTGATTTGATTTTTTTAAAATGAATATTTAGAAGTTCTATAAATCATCATCTGAAATAAGAATAAAAAAATTTTTGTAATTTAGTCTTATGATGAAATATTATATGGGAATAATAAAAAAAAAACTATGGTCAAATGTGACCACATGGATGTCTCTCTCAAAGGCTGAGCAAAAAGGTAAGTAACAGGATTGTGGCTGCCAGGGGGTGGGAGGAGGGGCAGTGGGGAGGGGTTTCTTCATGGATAGGAGGTTTTCTTACAGAGGGATGAAAATATTTTGAAACTAAGAAGAGATGGTGGTTGCACAACATTGTGAACACACTAAATGCCACTGAATCATACACTTTAAAATGGTTAATTGCATGTTATGAGAATTTCTTCTCAATAAAAAAAAGCACAGAGAATGTTCCCATTCACATAAAGTTTAAAGCACACACACACACAAAGCATTATATATATTTGAGGATGTATGGGCATGCAGTAAACCGAGAAATGCTAAATTCTGGAGGTTGGGAGGAGATCATGCCTGCAAAGCTTACACAAGGGGCTCCCACTGTTTTGGACATTTCTTAGACTGAGCAGTGGGGCAGTGGGTGCATCATATGTTTTATATCAGTCTTTATACCTTTTGGTATGTCTAAAATATTTTCTCCTAGCAGTTCAAAGCCTCACATTAACTCCAGCTTGTACATTTCCTCAGGATCCTGCTGTAGACTGAATTGTGTCCCTCTCAAATCCACATGTTGAAGCCCTAACCCCCAGCACCTCCGTTGTGACTGTATTTAGAGATGGATCTGTAAAGAGGTAGTAAGTTAAAATGAGGATATTAGTGCGGGCCCTAATCCAATGCGACTGGTATCCTTATAAGAAGAGACAGGGCCACAGACAAGCACAGAGAGACGACCACGTGAGGACACAGCGAGAAGGCGGCTGTCTACAAGCCAAGGAGATAAGCCTCAAAAGAAACCACCCCTGCTGGCACCTTGATCTGGGACTCTGGTCTTCAGAATTATGATAAATAAACTTCTGTTGTTCAAGCCATCAGCCTGTGGGACCTGTGGCAGTCTGAGCAAACTTAGGGGTTCTTCCCCCCCCCCCCCC